AAAACTCAACAGATGCAAAATAGTTTAAATGTATATTTGAATGTATATAAAGATATTGAATTTATATTAAAGTATAAAAAATTAAAAATATATATTATTTAAAAATATCGACTAACATTAATATATGTAATAGTAATATATAATAAACTGAAGATATTGTAAGATCTTATTGATTACAAAACGAATTATATATTAGAATTAAGATATTTAATCATATCTTCAAGAGTACTGAAGAATAAATCAACTATTAAAAGTACATTATAATCAATCTACAATGTACATATATATCCGCCGACCCCTTGGGGTTCATCGGCGTGTGAGGTGTTCCCCCTCCCCAAACCCCTCCCCCGGGAGCCCGGTCCGGTCGATTTGGAAGGGGGGGGGGGTGTACCCGGATGTCCCGCCGGGCCCGGAGGTGTCACCCGCTCCCGAAAATCGTGCAAAACCTCGGAAAATCGTGCGCAACCTCGGAAAATCGTGTAGGGACTCGTCTGGTGGCCTCGCAATGGGTTTGGGACGCCCAACGAGCGCTCCAAGACGCCCAAGTTGGCCCGAAGACGGGCCACGAGGCGTTCTCGACGGCAGAAGAGGTCCCCACGAGCCTCCCCGAGAGGCTCCGAGATGCGTTCCACGAGGGTCCCTAGACGCAAAAATTGGGCCATTCCCTTCGTAAAATGTACATATTTTATCAATTTCGCTTTGGACCTTTCCGATGCTCCCCGACGGCCCAAGAGGCCCCCAAACCCGCTCCCAGACGGCCCCAGAAGCCTCCCAGAGGGTCCCCCACAGACCCCTAGAGGGCCCAAGATGGGCTAACAGGCGTCCAAGACGGCCCAAGAGGGCTCCGAAAACGGCCCGAAGAGCGCTCCAGGAGCGCTCCGAGTGGCCTCCACAAAGCTCCACATGGTCCCAGACGGTCCAAGAGCGATCCAAACCATCGGCGAAGGCCTCCCGACGGCTCAAGAGGCCTCCCCAGACGCCCCCAGAGACCTCCAAGATTCCCCCCAAGAGCCCCTCTAGACGCAAAAAATCGCTCGTTTCCTTCGTAAAACATATTTTTTTCATACGTGCGCCTTTTGGGGTGTCCCCCGCTCCTGGACGGCCCCAGAGCCACCCAAACCCGCTCCCAGACGGTCCAAGACGCCTCCAAGAGGGTTCCCACAGAGCCCTCGAGGGGCTCAAGACGGGCCAACAGACGTCCAAGACGGCCCACAAGGGCTCCGAAAACGGCCCCGAGAGCGCTGCAGGAGCGCTCCGAGTGGCCTCGAAGAGAGCTCCACATGGTCCTCGACGGTCCAAGAGCGATCCGAAACGCTGACGACTGCCTCCAAACGGCTGAAAAGGCCCCCAAGACGCGCCAAGAGGCATCCACGCTGCGCCCAAAGACGGCCTCTAGACGCAACAAATCGCTCGTTCCCTTCGTAAATCGTATAGTTTTTCACACGTGCGCTTTTTCGGGTCAATTTGGCGGCAATTTGGCGCGGCGACATGGAGGGCCAGTGCGCAAGAAAAAAACACGCGCGAGATAGCGAGAGACAGCTTGTTAATGCTGCACGGACCCCCCCCCAAGGCCTTACCAGATATCCCAAGGGGTCGGCGGTGTGGCGTAAGCCCATGAATATAGATGTGCATATGTCGGAATCTAGTTGCATCTATGTCTGTAGTGCCCCCAAGACGGGGTCACTATCACATAGCACATAAAACTAATCTAAGCAAACATGGTTCAGCATGGAGCGAGGGACGACGAGGCGAGGTAAACGAGAGGAGGGCAACGAGGGCGAGGAGTGTGACTGGGAGCGGGAGGAGGAGAGAGCAAGCGGCGCGGAAAAACAACAACATGAGGTGGACGAGGAAGGACGGACTGACGATGAGGAGCCGCTTCGTAAAGCCACGGCCGTCTCCCTCGCCGAATTCCTCCTGCTGATCCCCCCCGCTCTCCTCGTGCATCCCGCTCCTCCGTGTCCTCCCCGCTCATGCGCCTCCTCCTCCTCCTCCTCCTCCTCCTCCTCCTCCATCTCTGCTCCTGCATTATCCGCCTCATCCTCCTCCTCACCTCCCTCCTCCTCCCCCTTCCACCCCACCATCACGATACTCGTCCTCCTCGCCCTCAATCCTTCTCGTCCGCTTCTTCCCTCCCCCTCCCCCCTTTGCCCCACTCTTCGTCGTCGTCGTCCTTCTCCTCCTCCTCCTCCTCCTCCTCCTCCTCCTCCTCCGCCTCCTCCTCCTCCCCCTCCTGCTCCTCACCTCCCTCCTCCTCCCTTCTCACCCTCCTTTCCCTGCAACCTTGCATGTATACGTTCAACACCCGCCCGCTCCATGAAAGCGGAAGGATGACGAGGAAAGGGGCATGCACGGAGGCGGCAGTGGAAGAGGTGACAGACGTGCCTCCTCTCTCCCCCCGCTCCCCCCTTCTTAACCCTCCCCGTGCAGGTTGAAAGGGGCGCAAGGGATGTTTACGGAAACGGTTCGGGGAGGGAGGCAGACAACCTGTCGAGAAGCGAATGGCAACATGCGATGATCTACCATGAGGGAATCGGGTCCTGGGCCCCGAGAATTTCGCCACCACTTTGGCACCCTGAGCCGTCTGTGAAGCCCCCTTGGCCGGTGGGGAGGCCCCATGAGTGCGGAAGCGGCCAACAACTTCCACGATCTGTCTCACTCAGGACCCCCTGCCCTTACAGTGGAGGCCAGTCCACAAGAAACCGTCCACAAGAGACCCAACCCTGAGACGCCAGGATGCCCACTGTTCCCAACCAACCTGTGGTGTTGGGTCCTCGTTTTGAAGGGACGGTGCCGCGCGTCTCCTCATCTCCTCTTTTCCTCCTCCCCCCTCCTCCCCCTCCTTGCCTTTGGTCTCCGCATGTCTCTGTTTCGGCACACCCTCACACGCTTCGTGGCCCCATAAAGAGGGGGTTCCACCTAAGGTCCCGGTGGCGCAGCCCGCATGGCGGCGCCGCCACATTTTTACACACCCCTCACACGCTTCGTGGCCCCATAAGGAGCTCCATCTTGGGTCCCAGTGGCGCAGCCCGCATGGCGGCGCCGCTCGATTTTGGTACACCCCTCACACGTTTCGTGGCCCCATAAGGAGCTCCATCTTGGGTCCCAGTGGCGCAGCCCGCATGGCGGCGCCGCTCCATTTTGGCACACCCCATCACACGCTTCGTGGCCCCATGGGGAGCTCCGCCTGAAGTCCCAGTGGCGCAGCCCGCATGGCGGCGCCGCCCCATCTTGGTACACCCCTCACACGTTTCATGGCCCCATAGGGAGCTCCATCTGAGGTCCCAGTGGCACAGCTCGCATAGCGGCGCCGCTCCAATTTGGCACACCCCTCGCACGTTTCGTGGCCCCATAGGGAGCTCCATCTTGGGTCCCAATGGCGCAGCCCGCATGGCGGCGCCGCTCCATTCTGGCACGCCCATCACACGCTTTGTGGCCCCATGGGGAGCTCCATCTAAGGCCCCAGCGGCGCTGCCCGCATGGCGGCGCCGCCCTATTTGGCACGCCCCTCACACGTTTTGGAAACCTTCTCTCCGCACTATCTCTCCGTCTCGTGGAACTCTTTCCCCCCTGGGCCGGTCGGCTGTCCCAAGCGCGCTGCCGCCCCCTTCGCGGCCGACGAGTCGCCCAGGCGTGAATCCTAGGAACTGGACTTAGTTTTGTTTGCTTGGGGTGGCGGGTTGAGTTGCGGGTTGCGGCCTGCGGCCTTTAGCCCTACGAGGGGGGAACGGCAGGAAGAAAAACGACGGACTGGCGGCTGGAGCTCTACGCGCTGCTTCTCAAGCGCGCAAAACGCGCCACGAGGACCTCCCCTCCTGCTCCCTAGCGGAGTCAGCCGCGCATATGCGAGTTCTTCTTTCCCGGCAGGAGCCCCCGCAGTCGGCCGCGCCGGAAGGGCGGCGGAAGCAGGCCGGGAGGCCAGTTGGCTAGCGCGCCTACGAAGACGGCGCAGGATGTGAGGCGACTGGCCCTCTCGCCAGGGAGCTGGGCATCACCGAGTTTATTTATATTCCTAACTTATATTCATCCGTCGAGGCTTGACCTTGAAAAGCGAGCAACGCACCGAACGAGAGCCTCCCGTCACTGTCGACGGTATTAACTGACCTGGCTACTGTCCGGCATCGCGCCGCTAGCAAAACAGAAACAACAAAGAAGAGAAATACCCGCGCAGCTGACGCATCAGTACCTCAGCTTGGGTGCCCTCTCCCCTCTTCGGCCCCTGACCAAGCCGCCGCGTTCCGCGGGAATTCCGCGCTGCGCTCTGCCTAGAGCCTCGCTCGCCCCCGTCGTCTCTCTGCCCGGCGGCCACAGCCTTGCCCGCTATCAGCGAGCCAATTCTCTCTGCTCCGCGCAGCGGACGACCCGCGCGCGTCGCAAGGACCCCTTCGGGGCGACCAGCGTGCGTCGCGGGGGCCCCGTGTGGCGCCGCGCCCGCAGCCTCGGACATGGGCGCGCACGGGCAAAGAGAGAGAGAGAGAGAGAGAAAGAAAGAAAGAAAGAAAGAAACAAAAAAAAAAAAACGAACGTGAAGGAAGCGGGCGCGATCCTCGGGAAGAGCGCGCCGACATGGGCGTCGACGCTTATGCGCGTGGACTGATTCGCACGCGGACTCATTCACAATCATACTCACTCGCGCTCAGTCTCTCGCACGCAGACCTATCGTCCTCGCTCGCGTCGCGTGCCCCGCCACGCGTCTCGGCGCGCCCCTCGCACGGTTCGTGGCCCCATAGGGAGCGCGGGCAAAGATGATATTCAGAATTGCGGTATTCATAGCTGCGCATGGTTGGGCCCTTCGCCATGCTATTTTTTTTGGTGTGGGAACGTCACGCTTTCCATAATAAAACCATCGAACCCCAGGATACCCAAGGCACCCTGGAGGCAAGCAGGGTGTTTCTTGGCATGGGCCTCCACTGCACAGCACAGGATGATGCCGACAGCAGGGGGGTGGACAGAGCCGAAGAATGCAGCACCCCCTCGGGCTCGGCGTGGAAGCAGGACGCCTGTCGCCAGGGGTCTCCTTGCGCAGCATGATGTTGCCGTAGAGATTGAAGCCGATCATCAACGGCAACGGGTACCCCTTCCATCCCGTACTCCTCACTATCACGCCTGCTCATGTGTCCCCCCTCCACCGCCTCCAAGGCGTATTTTCCGCCATCTCCCTGTGCTGCCCTTCGTCATGAACCTCCTGCATCCTGCGCTGCTGTTCCTTCTGCCCCTCCCCTCCCTGGTGCTGATCTCCGTCCACTTCCTCACTGGAAGCTTCCTCATTAGTCATTTCTGCCCTTTCCCCTCGTCTTCGTACTGCTCCCTGCTCCCCCTCCCAGAGCAGAGCTGAATCGCATCGCGAAGCCGGATCGAATTGAGAACGGATCGCATCGACAATGAATCGTTCCGAATCGAATCGAAATCGGGTCACCGAGCCCGGCTCCATTTGGCCCTGGCCGATGCCAGCGAACCGAGCCCAATCGAGTCGAACCGAAATCGCGGCCTCAACCAGCGAATCGAATCGCATCGAATCGGAACGCCAGCGGCCCCCCCCCCTCATTTGCTTCTCCCTCATCCCACCTTACGCCTCCACCGCCCCCATGCCAACATAACTGCCAGCAGAAGGGAACGGTGACCATGACGGGTCGAGCGGAGGGTGACTGGTGCAGAGAGGCAACGGAAACACGAGAATGACGAGAAGGAGCGATGAGCATGAGGGCCGAAGTCGGGGACAAAACCGCTGGATGAGAACACGTCATGCCCTCGCAGGTCAGGGTGCCGAGCGGTGCGGTGGCGTCTGTGCCCCGACCCCGCCTCCGAGCACCCCGCGCCCCTGCGGCAGACGGGCCCCCGAGGCCGAAGTCGGGGAAAAACCGCTGGATTTAAGTCGGGCATGTCCTCTACAGAAGGAATGATCAAAAAGCTTGTCAAGACATAGCCGGCGATATGTTTTGAATTTGTCTTGCCATGTTGAATTTCGTCCAGAATCCCCCAGTCGCGGGACATGCCCGACCTAACGCTGGATTGCAACAACGTGCCCTCGGAGGTCTAGGTGCCGAGCGGCGTGGGGGCGGCGGCTGTGCCTCGACCCCGCCTTCGCGCACCCCCCGCCCCTGCGATGGTGGAGCGCGCTTCTTCATCTTCGGCGATTAATGAGCATTAAGGAAGGGGGGGTGTATAATGTAACGCCTCCCCCCCGCCGTGTGCCCGATGCGCATGGCGGCAGTGCCCGAAGCGCACTGGGGGGGGAGGGGCGTTACGTTATGGGGGGGGGGGGGGCGGGGGTCATAATTCCCATTTTGCCCCAAGCAATTAAGAAACGCGCTCGTGTCGACCACACGCACGTGGTAGCCTAGGCAAGAGTAACCTTTGTCGGGGATCTTCTGACCCGGGTCAATCCAGACCCAGGTCAGCAGGAAACCAAAAAACTGCAACGCAAGAGACAAAACCTGCAACGCAGGTCTTCGCAAACCTGGGTCAACCAATATGTGCGGCCTCCTCGCGGCTCGCTAGCCCGGGTCAGCCAGAGGGGGTCTTCGCAGGATCCTGCAGGATCCGGTGCCCTGGCTGACCCCCGTGCGCACTGACCCCCGTCTCTTAGACCCCGACTTTGGTGCGCGGCCCGAGAGGGGGCCCTGGAGGGCCACCACCAAACGGGCAGGCCACTGCTGTCGCATCGCATTCCGCGATCGGGGGGCCCCGTTCCCAGACTTTCTTTTGGTCGCGACCGCGAGCGGGCACCCGCGCGGCGTCGGACCGTTCCCAAACATGCGATGCTCTGATGTATTCCATGCGCGGCTCCCGGAAGCCAAGACCCTTTCCGAGGGGCCAGCTCATCATCCTGAATCGTTTTCGACGGTCCTGGGGCCCAAAGATGGCTCCTGGAGGCTCAAAATGGCAAAGAACCTGCCGTCGTGACTTTTATTAACGACGAAATCATGTCTGGGTTGGGCCCGCACCAAAAAACACTCCAGCGAAAGGTCACTCTCACGTCCAACCTTAGGCCGGGCATGTCCTCCTACAGGCGGGCTTTGTGAGGAAAAATGGCACATCGCCAAACAATGTCCAAAAAGAGTCAAAAACAATCGAACCATCGTCCCCAGACAATTCCCAAATCAATGCTCGCAGTGAAGGGGTCCCAACGGAAATTTAATGATTTGGCGAAAATTTCCCGACGATTTTCGTGGCCGGCTGGGTTCCCAAGTTCCCGGTTCTGAGTTCCCGGGTTCCTGGTCATTGGTTCTGGTCCGATTTCGGTGGGTTCGTTCCCGGGTGCCCAAGTTCCCGTCGATCTCCTTTATCGATCCCATTTCAAACCATCCACGGATATGGGGGTTTTTCTCTGGTTTAACTTGTTTGTTGTGACTATTTGGGAATGTTCCTCCTGCTGAAGGACATGCCCTACTCACGTGCACTCTCGGGGGGAACGAAAGGGGGGATAGCAAATGGTAGGGTAGAGAATCAGCTCACGTAGCTGATTTCCCCAGCGCCTCCCGGCGCCCATGTATCGAGGAATGGGCCCGGCGACGGGGCCGAAACCAGCTGCATGCAGCAGATTACGTAACCCCCCCTCTCCCTATCCCCCCCTTTCCTGGGCATTTTCTTGGGATGGAGGGCTGAGGGTGCAATCCATATGGGCTTTGGCACATCGAAGATCAATCCGTGAATCAGATTCACTGCTTGCAGATCCAAACCTCGAACATCCATCGAAACGGCGTTTCAGATGTCCCCCTCTGCCCTCCACCCAAAGAACATGCTCGGCTTTCGTGAAGGGGCCCTGGGACACACAAATAAACAGACACAAATAACAGGATTCCCAATGTTTTCCCATATTTCTGGGTCTCTGTCTCCCCCCACTTCTTCCCATCTGTTCTCTATCTTCGGGGGAATCGACGATTAATTGTGTCTGTGTGTTTTGTACCCTCCTGCGTGTTGGAGGGCGGGTTTGGGAGGAACCCCAAATCGATCGAGCGTGAGCCTCAACTTTAAAAGCAAGTGCAGCCGGCACCGAGGCGAGCGCGGCAGGGCGCCTGCAGGGCGGCTGCAGGGGGTACAGCAGTAAGAACGAACCGTCGAGGAAGTGAACGCTCGAGAACTTTAACGCCCGTTCGCTCTTACCCGCTCGTGTAGAGGGCAAACGATCCACCCCCTGAGATCCGATGTCGTGTTTTTTTCAATACGGCCCCCCCCCCCCCCCGAAGTCTCGACCCATTCCCCAGGACCGGTTTGTCATCCTGAGTCGTTTTTTGACGGACCCGAGGCCCGGCGATGGCCCCCAGAGGCCGAAACCTGTGAAAAACGTCCGTCTTGATTTTTGCGATGCGTTGGATCCCTCCGCCCAGAAAGCAAATGCTCAGAAAGCAAATGCTCGGCTTCCCTTCGCCCCGGCAATCGGTGGCGGCACTGCCGGGCGGCACCGCCCGCCTCCCGCCGCCCTCCCCTGCCGCGAGAGCCACCGCTTATAGTCCTGCCCGCGGGAGCCCTGGGCCTCTGGCCGCCTGCGCCTCCCGCCGCCGCAGGGCGGGGCCCCGCATGCCCTCGAGCAAGGAGCGACCGTCCCGGCATCCCCATAGGCCTACCACGACAGGTTCTCAGAACCCAAACACGTGTTCTTCGAACATAGTGCACAACGTGTGAAAACGGGACAGTCTCAGCCAGAAGTGTCCTAGGAACACTTCGTGCCGACCACAGAAGGTCCTTAGAACATTCTTTAGTAGGCCTGCAGGCGAGCCAAGACTCTTCGCCACTGCTTGCCGTGCGCTCTCGTCTGCGCCCCCGCGACCGGCCCTCCGCGCACCCCTCGGCGGCCCAGACGTGGGGCGTCTCTGAAACATCGCGACGGAGATTCTCCTGTGTTTCTGGCCTCTCGGGGCCCTCCCCCGGGCCCCGCGGGGCCGTCCAAAGACGACTCGGGATGAAAAGCCGGTCCCGGGGAAGCGGTCGGGAGGTCGGGGGGCCCGTGTCTCGAAACAATCGAGACGTCGGATGTCTGGGTATGCGCAAGAGTGGCCCTGGGCAAGAGGGACCTTTAGTGCGCGGCCAAGCTGGGGACGCGGGGTGGCAAAGCCGGGGCGCGCGTAAGCCGCTGCTGCCGCTTCGCGTTCAGCGATATCGGGGGGCCCTCTGAGGATCGAGAGTCACTCTCGCGAAAGGTTGCTCTCACGTCTATAGTCTCAGGTCGGGCATGTCCTCCTATAGGCGGATCTTGGAGGATACCAAAATAGAGTAATCAAAAACTACCCCCGAATAGTCAAGCATCGTTGAACAATCGTTTTTGGCTGTTACTGTTTTGTTGTAATGCTATTATGTAATTTTGTTTTTTTATTTGAAAACAACCATGTTTGAATACCCCTCCTGTAGTAGAAGGACACGACGGACTTAAAAGCCTAGTCGGGGGGGTGGCACTGCTGGGCCGCACCGCTGGCCTTCCGCCACCCGGCCGCCGATTGCAAGGCCTATACAGTCAGGTCGGGCATGTCCTCCTACAGGTGGAATTGGGACGACAATTGCAAGATTGTTGACACATACGCAACAATAGACAAAGCTAATATGTATGTGTATGTATATACATATACAAATCGTCCCCAGACTATGTTTTGACTATGTCTGAACACTCCTCCTGCAGAGTGACATGCCAACCCTTCCGCCGAGCGCGAGGCCTACCGGTGCGCTCGTCTGCTGCCCCCCCGAGCGATCGGCGGCAGCTGGTGCCGATGCAGCGTCATCGGCGCGGTCGGGAGCGCCCATCGCCCAGAAGGGGGGAAGGAGGCGAGGAGGGGGGAGGGGAACGAGGACGAGGACGAGGAGGACGAGGAAGACGAGGAGGAGGACGAAATGAGGTCGACAAGGAGGAGGATGAGGATGAGGATGAGGAGGAGGGGGAGGAGAGGGACGAGCAGGAAGAGGAGGAGGAGGAGCGCGGAGGAAGAGGAAGAGGAGGAGGAGGAGCCCGTCGTCCTGAGGAGGAGGAGAAGCTGGGATGAGGAGACGGAGGGAGCGGAGCAGCAGCAGGTATGGGAGAAGGGGGGAATGCGGAGGAAGGGGGGCCGAAGACGGAGGCGGAGGATGCAGACGCTCGGACGCGATGCTATCCGAATTACCTGCTCTCCATGTCCGCCTCCAGAGTATGCATACATAAACATAATAAGCCTCAACAACTACATGTGCATGTTATGTGTTCACGTGTGTATGTATACATGTATTGAACTCGGGTTGCTCAGTTACACATCCATGTGTACATCAACGCGTTGTAAGCACATACTTATGCTTACACAAACACGTTGTTTGCGTCTCTCGTTGTTTCGTTCCTTCTGTCTCTCTCTCTCTCTCTCTCTCTCTCTATATATATATATATATATGTATACATGTGTGTAGATGTATGTATATATACATATACACATGAAGTCTTCCCAACCGATACGGATACGACAGTTACGGATACGTCTCCTCTGACCCTCGCCCCTTCCGCAAAAATCCTCCTCGTCGTCTCCCCTCCTCCACCTCCTCATGCCCCCCCCCTTTTCCCCCCTCCACTCGTCCACCTTCCTCTCCCGAGCCCCCGCACCCTCCTCACTGCCACTCCCCCACGCCCCCTCCGTGCTCCCACTCCTTGGGGAACCCAAGAGGTACCGATACCAATGCTCCCCGGAGCTCTCCCGGGGTGCGTTCTGACTAGAATTTCGATGCGAATCCAGCGGTGGCGACGAGGGCCTTTGAGGAGGCCCAAGGGTAGAGGAAGGGGTAGAGGAAGCGAGGGAAGGGGAAACGAGGGTAGAGGAAGGGTAGAGGGAGATGAAAACAAGGAAAGGGTAGAGGTATGGGTACATGTTACTCTTCCACCTCCTGCTCCGCCACGCTTCCGTACCTGCCAGGCTCCTCTCCTGCGCCCAACCGCCCCCGCGCACCGTGCGGGACGCGAGGATCACCTCGGGGGGCACAAGGAAAGCGCGAGCGGACGGCCGCGACGCGTCCGAGGGTGCATTTTGTGAGCTCACATGGCTGGCAGAGGATCTTCGCATCACACGCGCGGACCTTCGGTGGCAACTTATGGGAGCCTCCCATACCATCTTGTCAGCTCTTGCGAATCGACGATGATTTACGCTAAACCGACGCTATCGACGCTAAATCGAAGCTGATGGACGCTAACGAACGCTAACGAACGCTATCTCATCCACTCCCAGACGCTAGTCGACGCTAACCGACGGCTAAAGGCAGAGTTAAGACGGAAAACCAGGCTCCCACGGTTTGCTTGTGAGCGCACCCCCGGTCGGTCCAGCTCAGCGCGGGCCTTCGCGGAGTGCGCTGGACTGATCAAAGCCGAAAGCGCGCCGATGCGGTGGGGGCCGCGCGTGCAGGAGAAAGAGGCGCGAGGGGTCAGCACACGTAATAACGTCGCGGGCGGCCTGGAACTTCCGCTATCCGCGGAGATCTCGGGGCTTTGGCAGCAAGTCCGCCTCGTCAACGGCCCCCCTTCCTGACCTCATCTTCCGTCCTGCCTCCCTCTGCATTTTCCCCCCGTCCTGCCCTGATCCTGGGGCCCCCTTGGGCACTCGAGTGGACCCCCTCGAGTGCCTGTCCGATGCGAGCAGAGCTCGGGCGTGACAAATGCACGCCTCCTGGAACCAGACGGCCTCATCCACTCAGAATCCGCCGGCGTGCCCTTCCCTATTCTGCGCAATGGGTGACAACCTCACCTGGCAGATGAGGCTCACGGCCTACGACATGCACCTCAGATGGTAACAAAACGGTGGCAAATAATCACTCAATGCACCAACCACGATGAAATCTCCCACGCCTGCTGACGCGAACATGTGGATAATGATCCGTCAAGCATGCAGACTGGAGTCTCATGAGGGCCGGCATTGCTCAGCCGTTCGGGGTTAAAGCATTAGAGCAATGGAAAGGTTGTAGGCCCTGTGTTTGATGTTTTACCAAGCACTCAGCATAAAGATGCAAGTATTCCCATGAGTCGTCGTGCTCCGACGGGCACCTCTCACCCAACGCAGCCACCCGATCCGCCACCGTGCCCCCCGACACGTTGAGGCGCGGTCGAATGCCAAGTGCTGCAGGGTTTCTGTTTCTTTTGGGAGGGCCACCCTGCTTCAGTAGCAGACCGCTGCGTGCATCGCCCCTGCCCCTGAGAACCACGCTCCCTCATAACAAAACTGTGCGTCGCCTCCCGGGGGGCCCGTCGACGGCACAACACGGCGCCAAGACGGCCCCACGACGGCCCCCCGCCACCCACCACACGGCGAACGGGGCCCCAAGACGGCCCACGGGAGCCCCAAGACGACGTAAGAAGGCCCCATGGCGGCCCAAGAAAACCCCAAGGAACCCCCTATGGCTGCCTCTCAAGAGTCCAGGGCAGCCCCAGGACGGCCTGAACGCGTTCCTCGAGAGTTCCCCCGAGTAGCGAATACGAAAGATGTCACGTATTATAGCCTTCCTCCTCATCCTCCTACTGCTCCTCCTTCTCAGCCTCCTCATCATCACCATCCCGAACATAATCCTCATCATCCTCATCACGGTCCTCCCAAGCCTGGGGACACGAGATGTCACACGTGACGACCTCCCGTGCCCCCTCGATCAATCGCCACCCAGAATACTGGGCTGGCAGCGTGGCGGAACTCGCCGCACGCAGCTGGATAGACCTATCGTATCTCACTATCTGTCGCCTCCCCGAGAGTAGCTATCGCCAGATGATGGCGAATCATCCTTGCCCACCAATCGAATCATGCCGATGCTGAACGGTTCGAAATCTGGTAGTTGAGGCGGACAAGTATGAGGATACCGAACAAATGTACACGTGATCCCACCAACCCTCGATTCCTCTTCCAAAAACCTTTTCCTGTCGGGGAAGTGTACCTCCCCCTCTTCCTTTTTTTTGATGCGGGCCGCGAAGTGACAGAGCGCCCAACATGGCCTGAGATCCTTCCAAGAGGGCCTGCGATGCTCCAAGGCAGCCTCCAAGATGGGCCAACACAACTGACGATGGCTCAAGACAACTTCCAGCATACCTCCAAGAGGCCCGACGAAGCCCACCCGACGGTTCCAGGTGCTCTCGGAGCCCTCCGAGGACCCTCCCAACAGTCAAAACCCTGAGGAGCATCAGATACCTTCTTCGTCTCGCCATGTCGCTTCCTCTGCGCTTCTGAGGCCTCATGATGCCCCCAAAATGGTCCTAGAGCGGCCCACCCCAAAAAGGCGATGTTGGCCTTTTGATCGATGGCCTCCAAGATGGCCCCAGGAGGCCCTCAAGGCTCCCAAGGGAACCCTAAGAGGGCTCCAAGAGGACCCCAAAGCCCCCCAGAAGAACCCCAAGGGGACCCCAAGATCTCCCCCAGGAGTCCAAAGAGGGCTCCAAAAAGTCCAAGTCCTCCTCCTCCTCCTCCTCGTCCTCGCCCTCGTCCTTGCCCTCATCGTTTTCCTGGTCCTTTTCCTTTTCCTCCTCTTTCTCGTCGTGGTCGTCGTGGTCGTGGTCGTCGTCGTCGTCTTCCTCCTCGTCCTCCTCCTTCCCTCGCCCCCACGCGGGGCCCAGGGAGGGCCCCGCGAGGCCCTCCAAGGCCACCTCCCCTGCTCTCGGATCTCTCTCTCTCTCTCTCTTCACCCTGGTTGCCCGCTTTGTTTCACTACATGTGTCGCTTCGTCCCTTGTCCCGTCAAGTGAGCGTTTTCTTATTCGGCGTTTCGACATTGGGCGGAAGTGGGGGGGGGGTCTGGCTCTGGACCTCTCCTTAGTGCGACTGTTTGCAAGAGTGCTGCCTCTGGGGGAGACTCCACCCACTCGAAACAGGGGCCCAAAAAACAGCCAAGATCTACTCCATGGGGAAGGAAGGTTTTTGAGCCCGCGCCGATCGGCAAAACAATGAATGAACGAGATCACCTGCACCCTGGTTGCCCGCTTTGTTTCTGCTCCACCGCCCCTGACTATTTTCTGCCACCTTGTAGTCCCCATACTAGTTCCGGACTATTTCTGAATTTCCTCCTGTGGAGGGACACACCCGACTTGAAGCTAACATGCTGAACATGCGATACCTGCCCCTTGGGGTCCTCTCTCGGGGGCCTCTCGGGGCGTCTTGGAGGCCTCTGAGGCCATTTTGGGGTACCGTCTTGGACGGCATTGCGGCCATCCTGAGGGCCATCCTGGCTCTCCCGTAAGCGTCCTGGAAAGAATCTTGGGCCGTTCTGCGCCACTCTGCGCCTTCCTAAGGCCGTCCGTGCCGCCCGAAGCTTCGACTGCAAAACTTGCGCCGCACTTCCGCTTGTCCTCCGCCTTTGTCCGGGGCCAGATTTCGAGGGCTGCACCCCAGACCTCCTCGGGGAACACACGACGGGAATCCCTCCGCCAAGTCAGGGAAAGTACAGCTGATTGGAGAGGACACGCGAAGAAGAGACTTCCGAGGGCAACACAACCTGTAACACCAGAGTAACCTTGCCGCGAGAATACACGGACACGAGAGGCGATACACAGGACACCGGGATACCCTTGAATTGGCAAGTCCGACCACTTGTCCAACTTGAGTGCATGCGATCAGTCAGAGGCCAATCCAAGAGGAGAGGAGCTGGGTACTGTACTAACTACCACCCCCCCGGGCCTAGCTCAGAAGCTGGACCCGCTGCCTCCACTGACCATGAGCCCCCGACAATCGCATCCCGGGGGCGATAGAGTTCGGGGTTCAGGGGGGACAACAAACATTTTCAGTGGCAGCTCGAGTGTACGGAAATACGGTCTACGGATGTACAGTGCACGGAGTGTGCGGATGCACGGAGTGTCGAAACGTGTTTCGAAGTGCGCGGAGTGCATTAGATGTACGGATGCACTCGCGCGCCCATGCGGGGGCTCCCTGGCCGCCGGCGCTTTGACGGGGCCTGCCTGGCGCCCCCACCGCAGATCAAAAGTGTCTTGGCCAGAGATAATCAACTCTGAAGGGTTGAAGAGGGAGGGGGCTCATTATCATCCGGAGCATGCAGTTAGGCATCCACAGATCTCCACATCCCTCTGGCCATCTTCAACCAAACCAACGCCCGCACCCGAACCTGCATCTCGGTACGACTGGAGGAATTAGCCTCCTCATCTCCTCAATCTTCCTCCTCCTCCTCCTCCTCATTCACCTGCACCTCCTCCACCGCCTTCACCTGCGGTTCCTCCTCCTCCCCATCCTCATCCACCATTTCTTCTTACTCCACATCCGCCTCCTCCTCCTCCTCCTCCTCCTCCGCCGCCTCCGCCTCATCCTCCACCACCGCCCCCTCCTCCTCCGCCTCGGCCTCCACCACCTCCACCTGCTCCACCTCGGCCTCCTCCTCACCCCGTCTTCCTCCTCCTCCTCCTCCACCTCCGCCTCATCCTCTCAACCCCGCCTCTCTTCTCGAAACCCGCCTCCTCCAACGCTGCCAACGCCTCATGCACTTCTGCCTCAAACCTCCCCCTCCTCCTCCACCTACGCTTCCACCTCCTTCACCTCCCCCTCCACATCCTCCACCTCCGCCTCTCCGGCGTTACTTCCTCCTCCTACTCCCCCTGTAGACTGCAGCACAGAAACACTGCAAATTGGTGCCTGCGCAATGACAGATTGTGCAGCACCAGCCCACCAGGAGCAGCCGCTGCCTAGTGCCTGGCCAGATGCCCAGTCACCAAGCAGCGGCCGCCCGAGACAGCCTCCTGCACTTGCGACCACCCGCTTCCTCCTCCAGGAAAGCCCAGAATCGAATCGACAAGTCGCATCGGCAATCGAAAAAGATCGGATCAGCGGAAATCGGCAGCCGAGGCGGGAAAAATCGAATCGTCGGAAATCGGCAAGCTAGTATGCCTCAAATGAGAAACCGGAGCCCAGATCGGAATCCCAAGTCGAGTCGAATCGGAATCGGAATCCATCGAAGTCGAATCGAATCGAATCGGAGGAATCGAAACGAGCCCCGTCCTCGCCCCGAGCCGGCGAAAAATAGCGGGGGGGCGTCCGCGCAGGAGAGGGTCGCCTCATTATGCAGCCAGCCCAAGGCCCCCGACTTCGGCGGCTCGTCCACGACGGGGCTCGCGCCCGTGCTGGGCCGGAGGGAGGAGAGCAACAGTCAGACGTCGAGCAGAGGATGTGACTACATAATCGATTTACCCCTGAATGGTTTCTTCCGCCGAATCTGCAAAATTATATGCAGAAGTCCATGTAGATCCACGGGTCATTTTATATGTATATGTATATGTATATGTAAATGTATATGTATATGTATATGTATATGTATATGTATATGTATGTATGTATATGTATGTATGTATATATATATGTGTCACGCCTCCCCCCCCCCGCGACCCGACGCGACGCGACAACTCTCTCTACCGTGATAGCTCATTGTACTCTCAGCACTACTGATGGTACCACTGGGGATTCCTATCCAAATAACATTGTGCCACAACGGAAGCAAGACTCCTGCATAAGGAAACCTTGCACTGGTACTCGAAGACGGAGGGTTTTCGCAGCTGCACCGGAGGGATGGACTGGAGCTCGTCGAGGACGACCCCTCCCCATCCCTCTCTTCCTCCCCCTTCTCAGCCCTCTCCCCCTCGTCCTCCTGCCCCTCCTTCTCCTCCTGCTCCCCATCCTCCCCCTCCTCCTCTGGCTCCTCCTTCTCCTCCTGCTCCCCATCCTCCCCCTCCTCCTCCTGCTCCCCCTTCTCCTCCTGCTCCCCATCCTCCCCCCTCCTCCTCCTCCTCCTCCTCCTCCGACTCTCCCTCCTCCTCCCTCTCTTCCATCCCGGAGCCTCCTGGGGCGTCCTCGTCGCCACGGCCAGGTCCACATCCTGGGGACATTCTGGCCGGAGCGCACTCCCAAAGAGGTCCGGGGGGCCAATCTGTCCGTTCGGAGGGGCCCCAGGCATCCCATCGTCCTAAATCACGTCGCGACGGCTGGCTTTTCCTTTTTAGCCTTTGGAAGCCGTCTCCCCGCCCTTGGATTAGGTCGAGCATCTCCTCCTACAGACGGGCTTTGGAAGAAACAAGAAAATAGCCCAAAAAGACTTTGACAATTATACAAAATCGTCCCATAACCATTGTTAGACTCTTCTCGAATATTCCGCCTGTAGAGGGCACGCCCGATTTAATATGTTTTTTGTTGCCTCTGGAAGCTGTCCCTCCGCCCTGGGACCGTCCCCAGAACGGCTCGGGTCGGGGATCTTCAAACCCAGGAAACCAAGAAACTACAATGCAGGAACAAACAAATGCAACGCAGGTCTTCGCACATCCGGGTCAGCCAATATGCGCGGACGCCTCGCGGCCACTAGCGACTAGCTAACCAGGGTCAGCCAGAAGGGGTCTTCGCAGGATCCTGCAGGACCTGGTGCCCTGGCTGACCCCCGTTTGCATTTACCCTCGTCTCTTGAACCCCGATCGGGAATGGACTCCTGGCTCCCGGGACCGACTGACGGCTCGGGAGGATGGATCGGGAAGACGCAAGACTCCTCCAAACCCAAAAGGGGTATCCAGCTGAAAGGGGGTGGTGCAATAGATTTCGGGCAATGGTATTGCAAATAGACTGCGACGGAGAATTGTATTGCATTGTACTGCAAGTAACGCATTGCACGCGGAAATCCAGCAATACATCTGCGCCCCGGAATGTATTGTTCGCCCCAAATGCATAGCACCCTCACAAATCTATTGCAGCACCCTTTGTCGCCGGACCCTGTTTTGGGTCAGCCAGAAGGACTCGGGTACGGGGGACTCGGGTTGGCCTGACGGGGCCACCATAAGAATAACGAGACCCAATCTTAAGTTTGACGCGACCTCCCGCTGCAAGCATCCCACGAAAACCAGACCGTCAAAATCCAGGACGCGCTCGTCAAACAACGTAGGCAAACCCGAGTTCCGGCTGAAGCGAGTCTTACGTTGCCCCGGATGGATACCCGAGAACGCCTTCGACCAAACAGAGTCCGTCCGCGCATCGTTCCCGAGAGGCTGAGCATGGAAAGCCTGGCTCGGGAGAATGGCACAGGAGGGCGCAGGATGCGCGGACGGACCGTGCCTGGGTCAGAGGAGGGATGAGCTGTCCTCCGGGGCGAGGCTGGGGCAGACGACCGCGCTACCGCTCGGGTGCTCACGGGACCCGCAGGCGGGCACTGAGGGCGAGCTCCCGAAGGCCCAGCCCAGCCCTGCGCGAGGCAGGGAGACGCCGAAGCTACCAGCGCGAGGCGCCAGGGAGGGCCCCCCTGGCGGTGGGGTCCCCCCCCCCCCACCCCCACCCCCCGCTCGGGGTGTGGCAGCGCGGACCCCCCTCGTTGGAGGTGGCACCCCCCTGGCCCTGGTGGCGCCGCCTCCCCGCCCTCCGATCGCATGGGGGGCAAAGAGAAGCGACGATCACGTGGCAATCTTCGGCCTCCGGTGGCCACGGCGACGACGACGGCGACCGCGGCGCTGCCGGCCACGACGAGGACCACGACGACGGACACGATGGCGACGACGACATCCTGACATTGGAGGCCTCCCAGATGGTGTCCGAGCAGATGGGGTCGGAGGATCGCGCCGCATCGCCGATACATCGGTGATACATCGCCGACGCATCGGCAATGCATCGGCGACATCGGAGATGCATCGGCGATGCATCGACGATGCGGCGCGATCCTCCGACCCCATCTGCTCCGACCCCATCTGGGATAGAAGAAAAGGAAGCACGCCGTAAACATACACTTTTGGCGCTCCGCGCTCTTGGATCCGCGCTCCGGCGCCCGGGGGGGCCCTGGGCGGATCCAAGAGATCCGCGCGTAGCGCCAAGAGTTTATGCTTATGGCGTTTTTCCTTCTTCGATAGGAGCCTGCAGAGACACCCCGGCGATCCTCACATCCTCCTCCCGGTGGTGCCACCGCTCCTTCCTCCGACTCCGAGCACCGCCCCCTCCGTCCTCGCCGCGCTGCTGGGGAGCACCCACGCGGCGTCCCACGGCCACTGCAGGCACCACAGCGCCACGCACGACGCCAGGGCGCCAGGCAGCAGCCAGCGTCGTGCCATCCTCCCCTCCTCGCGGGGGGCCCCTTTCGGCTCCACGATCGGGGACCAACCTCGCTCCCCTGATACTGGAGGCCTCCTAAATGGGGTGCGAGTAGATGGGATCGGAGGGATTGCGCCGCATCGGCGGTACATCGCCGATACGTCGCCGATGCATCGACGATGCATCGGCGACCTCGGCGAGACATCGGCGCCGTCGGCATGGAGAAAATCGGGTTCCACATCGAGCCGCATCGCCGATGCAGCGACGCTACGGCGAGATCCTCCGACCCCACCCGGGAGGCCCAGACATAGTTACACGCCGGCAGCAGCGACCGTCGGGACCGAGAGCGGCTCGGCGCGCTCGCCAGGCAGCGGGGGCGCAGGCCCTCACCTTCGCGGAGCGCCGGTTCGATCCGATCGAGATCCCGGGGGGGGCCCCAGAGCCCCTGGGAGCTGAAGTGTCCGTTCTCGAACACGTAACGCGCGTGGTGTGGCCTCCAGCGCATTTCCCCGCCCAGTAGATCAGATAGCGCCCTCCGCTTCACCCACCCCCGTTGCAGCAGCGCCTGTCCTTTAGCGAACAGGTATGGTGTCCGTAGTGCGCGCGCAACGTGTTAGGTGATGTGCAAGCGGAATCACCCACCTACCCAGCCGCATAACGAGCGTTATGCTGTTTCAAAGGAACTTGAGCCCCTTGCGTCGTCAAGGAAAGGTGCGATCAGGGGGGTACCCCAGAGCCCCTTGCACTTCAAAAAAAAAAACAACACGTTTCCCGCCGTTCTCAGCCCAACAAGGGATCCAGCTGAAAGGAGGTTGGGGGGGCAACTGTATTGCCAAGGTATTGCGCCAGAGAATTGTATTGCGTTGTATTGCAACAAATGAATTACACGCGAAAGGCGCACCGCTTTATTTGCGCACCGGAACGTGGTGTACGCCCTAGACCTATTGCACCACCCCCTTTTCGCTGGACCCCGTTGCGGGTCAACCAGATTCTGAGGGCGCTCGGGGGGTCTGGGGACCGCCGCAGAAGGACTCCGACGGGAAAGCGCGCCAGGGGGGAGGTGTCGAGACCGCCGGGGGTCCGCGCTACGAGCAAAAGAAGGGCGTCGCGGGCCTGGCACTGGCTCGGGCGGGGAAGCATTGACTCGGAGACGGCGATGCGTGGCCAACAGATCCGCGATGGGCCGCACGTTCCCGGCAGGGGCGGGGCCCGAAAGCACCGAGCGTATGTGTATGGGCCCCTGGGCCCCCGGGGCCCCCTGGGCCCCCTGGGCCGTCTTGGGGTGATCTTGGCGGCCTCTCGGACGGAGCGAGCACCGCAGAGGCCTACAGCTGAATCCGTCAGACAACCGATGAGCATCCGCCAGTCCATTCGGGGACTCAGTGCGTGCGAGGTTGTTCCCCCTTGAGGGGGGGGCGGGGTCAGGCCCCTGGAGATGGAGGGACGAGCTCACCATGGGCCTTCTGTGGGCTGCCAGTCTGTCAGATTGCCTCCAAGACGGCCCAAAATGCTTCAATCCAATCAACATGGCCTCCAGAAAAAAAAACAGATGACCAACAACTGCTTCCCCAAATGTTCCAGATCGAAGACCGGCCAAAGAGCCCTCCAAGATGTCCCAAGCGCAGGTCCCTATGGGGACCTCCCAAAGGGTCCCTTGAGCTGGAAAGCTGTCACATCCTACAAAACAGACTGTTCTGAAAACCTTGATCGGCGGCGAGCGAGGGGGGGAAGTGAGACGGAGAAGACCTTCTCAGAAGGCTCGGAAGTGCCCGAGCGTTCTGAGAAATGCTCTAAGCCTTCCCCGAAGACAAAATTACAGCTCTCGGAAGGCGCGAGGGCTTCTGAGAAGTCCCGCTGGCTTCTGAGAAGGCCTCCTCCTTCTCACTCCCCCCCCTCCCTCGCCGCCGACTCGGACTAGGACCACGCTGCATTCCCTCGAAAGGCCACTCTTCCCTCCCCGGACTTCCGCCCGCGGACTGGCCCCGCTTCGCTTCCGCCCGCTCCCGGCAGTAGAAAGACGTCCACCCTGCAGCGGAGGCCCGACCAGAAGAAGCCTTCCACAAGAAGCCCAACTCTGAGACCCCAGGACGTCCATCGATTTCTGTTGGTGTGGGAACGTCGCGCTTTCCATGGCAGAACCATCGAAACCCAAGAAACCCAAGGCACCCCGGAGGCAGGCGGGGTGTTTCTTGGCATGGGCCCGCACTGCACCAGTCCCTCGACTGCGCAGCCCACCCTGGAACGCCCCACACGCACCAGCAGCTACCCTTCTAAACACGCTCCTGGGAGCCTCTCGCAAGAACGTGAGTGGGCGCAGGGGCTCCTTCAGTGGCCCCTCCAGTGGCCCCTTCCCCCGTCCCCCCTCCACCAGAGATCAAAATCCGGTTCAAGGGGGAGGGGGATCTCCGGGTTCGCCGGCGCACTCCCGGAGGCTCGGGAGCGTCCAAAGCTGCCGTTGGTGGCCTGAAAAACGTGCCAAGACGGTCCCGATGGGTTCCAAGACGCCTACAAGACGTCTCAAGAAAGGCCCAAGAGCCTCCCCAAGAGGGCCCCGAGAGGGAACTAACCATGGTTGTCCTTGAACGTTTTAAGTGCTTCTGGGGTTATCACCTTCTCGAGCTTCCGACGCTCCAAGACGGTCCAAGAGGCCCCAGAGACTCCCCCCAAACTGCCCAAGAGACCCCCTACGAGGGCCCTGGGACGGCCCAAGAGGGTTCCAAGACAGCGCAAAGAGGGGCACAAGAAGGCCCACGATCGCCCAAAAGGGCCCCTGGAGAAGCCAAGAAGGAGAACACGAACCGAAAATCCAAACTTTCTGCCCCCAGAAGCCCCCAAGCGGCTCAAAAGAGGCCCCCCAAAAGCCGCAAGAGGCCCCCAAGAGGCCCAGACGAGGCCCTCAAACGGCCCCCAAGATGCTCAGAAGACACTTCAAGACTGCCTCCAATATGCTCCACCAGGCCCCCAAACAGTTCACAAGACGCCCACAAGATTCCCCACACAGCGCCCAAGAAACCCACGACGCCTCAATCGTTGACTCCCCGCCTCTCCTGGCGGTCGGCGGAGTGGCGTCAACCTCTTGAATCACAACCAATCGCGATCCCAAACAAATAACACATTGGTGATGCGATGGCTACCAAAACGGGTAGCTGTCCCGTGGCGGCGAGTACCATAACAGCTTTGCTGATGAGACGGAGGTAGCGGATGATGATTCCATGACCTTCTTGCCGAGCGCGAAGGCCATGTATGTGAAATTCGAGGTGATTGCAATTCGAGTAGGGGGTCGACAACATAATTGAGTTACCCTAGAAGTGTTTTTTCCCGTCGGGTCTGCGAAGCAAACATAGCAGATTCAGTAGATCTACTGGACGTTCTACGTACTTCTCGTAGATTCGACGGAAAACAATTCTGGGCTGAACCAATTCTGTAGTCGATCCCCTACTCGAACAACGGCATTGGCAATCCCCCTTGTGGCCCTCACCTTGTCCTCCTCATCCCGCTGCGCCTGCGAGAGCCTAGCATTACCCTGGTAGCAATGATTGTAGGGGTAATGGGAACGAAAATGCGCCTTACCGGAAGAGGAGGAGGAGGCGGAGGAGGAGGAGGAGGAAGAAGAAGAGGAAGATGAGGAGAGGGAGGAGAAGCAGGAGGAGGAGGAGGAGGCGGAAGGGACCCTCCCTTTTTGCCATGCATACTGAACGTGCGTGCGTGTCCTGCTCATCCCTCTCCGCCCAAGACATCCGACGTCGCCGACTTTTCCTCAGCGTCGATCACGGGAGGCCCATAAGACCTCTTCCCACGGCCGTGCGTGGACGGTCCCGTGGCCCAGCGAGGGCCCCCCGACGCCGAACATCGCCAGCAGCCTGCCGGCGTGATTTCTTCGCGACGCCAGGCAGTCTGGGGCCACCCCCATCATCGTCTCAAAATAGAATAATTCGGGGGCGCGCAAGCATGGATGAGCGATCCATGGATTTGGCGCGCGGTCGCCAGATCCATGGATCGGAAGAGGAGGAGCCCTCCCCAAAATGCGGCTGGTGCTGCCTCGCTCGGCGGCGGAAATCAACGGTTCTCCATGGAAACGGGGCCCGTCGCTAATCCACGCCCCCTTGATCCACGTTAGCGATCGCCCGAATTATTACGACCGCCTCCCACCAATGCAAACGCTCAAACATTGGGGATGCGGATGCATCCCGGATGCCCAGGCCCAGGGCAACTCCAGATGACAGCTCCCCCAGCATCGTCCCAGAGCAGCGCGAGAGCGGAGTCGGGGACGCGCTGGCCCGGGTCGGAGCGCAGACCCGGGTCAGCCGGGGCCTCGTCGCGAACCCGGGGTCGGCCACCCACTGCCCAGCAGCTCAACAGCGCCCGGGGTCGGCCGAAGGCGGGGGAGCGGGGCGGGGCCCCACGTGGCTCCCAAACCCGGGTCAGCCAGAGGCGTAGGCGAGGCTTTGCGTCCATATCCGCTGCGTCTTGGACTGTCTGGGCAGGGCCGCCAAAAGGCCGATGCGCAGTGCGTGTGGAAAAGCAGCCAGCCTCGAGGAGCCAAATTGATATCCATTCCTCCACTTCGCCTCAAGTGTCTGGGGAAGGGAGCCCGGAACCGCAAGATGCCGTGGATGTGGATATGCACCTTGCCCGCAAGACAGGATCGGCTGACCTTGGAGGCGGCAAGGTGGGCCGGAACTGGCTGGGCCCTGAGAAAATCTGTCAGGAGGGGGGGGGAATCCCAATCCGCTAAAAATCTGTCCTTGTACCCCCTCCGCGGCCCATCCCGAATCCGTTTTTGACTGCCCCAGGGCCCGAAAACGGTCTCCAGAGACCGAAACAGGCAAAATACCTTCCTGAACGCAGAAACTCAAATGTGCCCCCCCCCCCCCCCTGCTGGCCAGAACGAGTGCTGGGTCACCGCATACACTCGTTGGTCTCAAAGGCTGACCCTCAGGCCCTCGGAGAAGAACCGGGAGGGGCAGGAGGAAGAGGAGGGGTGAGGAGGAGCAGGAGAGGACGGCCCAAATGCGGTCGC